TACACTCGAGCAAAACTAGCAGGACAAGTATGAAAGATAATTAGCCAAACCACTATATATTCATCTAGGTTTTTAATTTTTAATTTTCTTTTGGCGTAACTGAGTCTATATAAGAGATAAGATAAAGCCGGTTAGTCTTCATGGTCTAGTGTTAACGAAAGCCTTTTACAAGAATGACACCCAGCTCTGATGATGTCCATCATATGATGGACGAAAGCTCAGCACGTTTTCATCAAAACGAGGGAGGAAGTCCAGTGGACTGCGTCAACATGGATATCGTATAAAACCTAACCGGCTGCAGTACAACGAGTTTCATCCGTCCTCATCTGGTGAGATTGACCAACAATTCTCTTCTTCATGCACTTTCATACGAAATGAAGGTCGCCCTAACAATGTTATCTCAGAAGATTCATTTTTCTTTTTACGTACCTATAAAAATTTAGTAGGTAGATCGAGTGGTAACATTGCCATTTGACGCACGAAATAATTAGGAATCCCACTAAGGCCACTTAGGAAACCTAGGCGAGATCTAAACTGCGATCTCCCTGGCTTATAAGGCTTATCAAAAAATAATAGTGTGTATAATCCAGTTACATTAGGACATTATAGTAATTTCTTTGCAAGAAAATTAACTAACAAGCCATCTACCACCTTTTGTAATTTAGAGCAATAAATCTAAAGGACAGCAGCACGAGATAATTGCCAAATGTATTTGAGCATGCTATTATACACCAGAAGAGATTAAAAATATTGAAATAATTGTTAATTTATAAGGAACACTATTTAAAGAGTTTATTAATTTAGATAAACAACTTTATTAAACTTTGAGCCACAAGATGAACATTTATCTTTAGAAGTCTTTCTTCACAAAAATAAAAATAAAAATTATATATATATATATATATAATAAAGCCAAATTAACCTTTTTTCCAGTATTTATATTTACAAAACAAAAGAAAATGCATGTCGAGAAAGACTGACAAAATAAGCGGAGAAATTATATAAGGATATGAAACAAATATTAAAATAATACAAAGCATCGCATAAGTTATAAAGAAAGAATTTATTGTATAATAAGATATATATTAGCCGTTGGCAGATGAAATAAGACACAAGATTAGGCATATTGGGCTTACATTTCTCCAATGAAATCATCTTAATCTAAATCTGCTCAAAATCGCCCATATGCCTCAGCAGATTTATATAATATAAACAAAATTCAATCCAGAGGTATGGCACACTCTAGGGCGAAACCGAGTCAGATCTAACTTCCTCCAGATCTAAACTAAAAATAGCCTTAAGGAGCTCCCTAAACTGAGTCATTGGATGAGTTATAAGCATGTTCTTTTACAATTAATTAAATAAGAGATTCCAACACCGATATACAAAAGTAAATATAAAACACATGCATGTAAGTAGCCTTATCCAAATAAATTTTATAATTGGCCAACATCAACATCAGACCTTGATTAAAGGGAGGCTGGCGTCGCAATTTATTAGGCAATAGCATTATCAGAGAGATTAAATTATCCTAAGGGCTATTCTCCTGAATCGAGACGTGAATCATAATGACTCGCCATTTTACTTCTGACTTATTGTAGGGACCAGGAATTTAAATGTGTGATTAGTATCATAAATCCTAAGTGTATGCAGGAAAGACATTTTAATAAAATGTGTAACCTTTGTTTCCCAAAAATGTATTTTTGCTTATGTCAGACTTAAATTTTTTTTGAATTAACCTAATTTCGGTACGCTAAGTAATGTAGCTTTTAAATCTAAATTTTGTAGTGATTAAACATTACCGTCTTCTGAAGTAATATTGGGGTTGCTCATCAGTTCAGAGAAAATAGTCTCCGCAGCAATCCTTCCTGTCCGAATAGCATTGTGTACACCCTTCACTTTCATAACGTTTAAAAAGCCAGGGGAGCAGCCAATTAAAGCAGCACCAGGCATTGTTAACCTAGGAATGCCTTGGAAACCCCCTTCATTAAGAACACGGGCCCCATATGAAATACGATTTCCACCAGTCAAAATTTCAGCAAAATGTGGATGGTGCTTCATCCTCTGAAACTCGCGAAATGGACTCATGTGAGGATTTGAGTAGTCCAAAGCCATCTAATAAGAAATAAATCAAAAAATTCCCTGATCAATAATGTAAAACGAGAAACGAACAGGAAATGAGATCACTAAGTATAAGACCAAAGAGATAACGAAACATAAGAGGCATAACGTAGCAAGTTAACATTTAAGCGATCGATAAAAACTAGGTGATAAAAAACTACCTCTGTTGTAGTGAAATTAGCAAAATAATAGTGAGGATTGAATAGATTTTGGACAAGTGGCTAGCAGTTAAGCCGGTTCCAACATGGACCTGCAAAAACCTGCGGGACACAAATAAACAAAAATTGTTAGAAATATTTTAATACTTAAATTATCCAAAGCCAAATTAATAACATGTAATAAGAATAATGAGTAACATTCAACAGTGGGAATAAAAGCAAACAATACTCATGTAAATGAAAGAATAATGAATAAAATATAGTAGAAGAGAAAATAAAAGAAAGGCAAGATAGTGTGGTATTTTGTGCGGTAGCAGTATCTTTCGTTGTATAGGAGTTGTTTGACCTTGTTTCGCAACTTGGTGATACTAGAAGACTTAGAGGAACGCACCTAGTCTGGAGTCCATTGTATGCACGATAATTTTCAAAGTCGGACTGTGGACGTGGTAATTTCCCAGACTTTACCCGCATAGTCAGTGAGTCTTGCAATTCTTAGCACCATACTATAACACGTCAGAGACAAGTAAAGCCGATCCTTTGACCGAATGCGTGCTAAGCGGTTGTGGTATCTTTCCTATCCTAGGCTAAATACCAATCCTATCTCTTCGTATCACGCATTCATTATCACAATTGTTTACTTGCTTACTTAAATGTGGCAT